GTCTGCTGTCCTTCAGATTTTTGGCAGAGCTTCAAATTCTGCCTCTTCATTCAGAATTAAGCAAAAAAAAAAGAGAGAAAGACTCGTGGAAGTGGAGGATAATTAAAACCATCTTATTTGCGACGAGGGAAATTACATTTACAGAGCAGGGCAGAGTAGATCAGTAAGAATGGTAACTGTGGAAACACATAGGCATCGCTATTGAAAAGGGAGGAATAGAAGTGGAATGCCAAATGCTCCAGCGAATATCTGTCTTCAATAAGAAATCCATTTTGGGGAAATAATTTGACTGTGTCAGATATACTCTGCTCACAAATTTAATGAATGATTGCATTTAATCAATGATCTGTAGCATATGAATTTAAACTATTACATACATATTTCACACTGATAGAGACACTTAACCTTTAAAGAGAGTAAAAACTACATAGTACTACAGCTGCCTTGCTCAAGCAGATCTTTGCACATGGGACCACAGAACTTTCTGAGCCAATCACCTAAGCTGTAAATGTCATGTGACAGCACACATGGTCTCAAACCCATCACTTATGACTTGAATGATCTTGAACTGTGAAGGGCTGCAGAAAAATGTATATTGAATTATATTATCTTTAAAAAAAACGTTTTTAACTTTTTGACAGATGATTCTTGAGCACCAAATGAATGTTTTAGAATGATTTCTGAACGATCATGTGACACTGAAGACACTGAAAATTCAGCCTTGCCATCACATGAATATAATATATTTCAAATTATATTAAAACAGTTATTTAAATCATAATAATATTTTACAATATTACAGTTTTACTGTATTTTCTGATCAAATAAATGCAGACTTGGTAACAATGGGAGAATTCTTTCAAAAAGGTTTAAAATAGATCTTAGTCTGACCCCAAACTTTTGAACCATAGTATACATGTAAGCATTTTGTCATTTAAAAAAAAAAAAAAACAGTTTCATTGAGATATACTTAAATGGCCATTAATATAAACAGATGCTTTTTAGAACCAAATGGTATCAAACATCTACCCGCAGGGGCTAACTAGACTATGTTAGTATCCTGTCAAAACTTTGACCTTTTGTTCTTGATCATGTTCCTACATATTATTTCCAGTGTGAAATGATCACTTATGTCTTTCTTTTGGTATATCAATCATCCTGCTAACACAGTCACAATCAGTGTGTGGAACATTCTATAAACAGGCAAACGCTAGATGACACTGATCTGGATTGTGACATTGTTTAATATAGTAAGTGAGATACATTATAACAGTCTGTCAATAGAGGTTCTGCCCTGCTGCTCAGAGGTGAGTTTCACAGCATCGTGTTTTTACAGCTTAATTCACTGCGGTCACTGCACTGCATGAAAGAGCATTGGACACTTACATGGGCCCTATCAACATATCCATTAACATGACACGGCTATGAGTCAGTCTGTGATCATGCCATTTTAGGGACTAAAGAGGTATTTTTCATTTAATAAGGCTTCATAGGCATTGCTGCTGTTGATGTCTTCCTCTGAGGTGTAAATGTTCCTTTCTTCTTGCTTAGATAAGCACTCATGTTGGAGAGTAATTCTTTTTCCCATTTGCTTTTCCTAAAGGAAATAGTAGGCTACTTGTGAGCCAGCAAATTAATAGGAATATATTTTATAGTGAAATGATCAAGAAAAGAAGTAAAAGTGGAAGCGCAATAGAAGACCCAGTTGACATCACATGAAAGAAAAATAACAAATGAGGTCTCTTTTTATTTATTTATTTATTTATTTATTTTCCCTGTTCAGCATATTAAATGGAGAGCAAATTGAGACTGGCTTAACCCCATTCATCTCTTATCTGTCTCCATCGAGTGTTGAGAACTCACAATTGTCACACATTGTGCTTAACGTCTGCGATCAAATCTAAGTTGAACATTAGAGAATTTAATACGAACTCAAACATTGTCATTAAAATTCGCTTTTTGTTTAATTTTTGTTTTTCTCCTAAGAGTTTTTAGAGCAACATTTCAGTCAAAGGTTAATAAGCAATATGGAAACTACAAATGAATCAATGACTCGTTCACAAAGACTTTTGTTTCGTTTTTTGAATGAATCAACGCTGCGCGATCACGACTGATTCGTTTTCTCACACAACAGTTCAATAAACAAGAAATTAAAGTTGAGTAACTTACATTTTAGACACAATATTCGCCAGTTCGACAGTACTACTTTGTATTCTTTGCACAGATGACGAAAATAGGCCTATATCCAAAAAAATGAAGACACGGTAGAATTGCCGTTGCGTTCCAGAATGAATCAGCGTATTTGAACGAATCGGTGAATGAAGGATTTAAAATGACTCACTCATAAAACGGTCTTTTGTCGCCACCTATTGGAGTAACTATAAAAGGAAACACTACAGACTTGACAGGCGATCTGGATCGCGGAACGATACAAAGAGTGAAAAGTCCTAGTGCTGTTGAGCTGTAGCGACAGACATTAATTTTCAGGGATGCAAACTAGCCTACAGTACTACTGGCCTTTTCGAATTTCGCAGATTTTCATGCCATTTAGGCCTACATTATTTGCCACAATTGGGCTACATAGAAACGTAGCCGGTTTCAGCATACATAAGATAACAGTGAATGTTTGTATATTGTTATATTTCTTTCGTAATTTCACGTGTCTAAGAAAATGTACAAAAAAAAAAAAAAAAAATGAAAAAAAAAAAAATCCTAATAGGTTTTGTTTTGTTTTGTTTTGAGTGAAGATGCATTTTTCTTTCCCCTTACAGTGTGAACAGTTCTTAAAAAAAAAAAAAAAATGTAAAAAAATATAATCCTCATCATCATTCTCGAACTAGAACATATGAAGACTTTCGCTTTCAAGTGCCGTGATTAGGAAAGTTATGTTTTTCTATTGAAGATATATAAATGTAAATGCTTTAATGTTTAAAAGTAATTTATTTCTGTGATCAAAGCTGAATTTTCAACATCATATCTCTAGTCTTCAGTGTCACATGATTTTGCTGATCAATTAGCCTATTATTTGTGATAAATTATTAATAAAGGTTCTTCTTATTATTATCAATACTGAAAACGTTTTTCTTAATATTTTTGTGGAAACTGTGATACTTGATCTACTTTTTCAAGATTATTTTTTGAAAACAAAGAACAGCTTTAAAAAAAAAATCAATATTTTGTAATAAGTATAGGCTATATTTACTGTCCCTTAAATCAATTTCATGCAACCTTATTGAATAAAAGTATTATTTTATTTTTTTATTCTTACTCCTAACTGAATGGTGATGTATCACTTTTTCCACAAAAATATGAAGAGAGCACAACTGTTTTTAACATTGTCAATAATCAGAAATGTTTTTAAGCAGCAAACCAGCATATTAGAATGATTTCTGAAGGATCATGTGACACTGAAGAATGTAAGAGTAATTATGCTGAAAATTCAGCTTTGGTCACAGAAATAAATTATTTTTACTATATATTTGCATAGAAAACAGCTATTCTAAATTGTAACTTTATATATTTCACATAGGCTATTACTGTTTACAGTATTTTTCATCATCATAAAATTCTTCATCATAAAAATAAGAAACTCTTGTCAAGCAATTGAAAGGCACAATAAAAACAGTCCACATTCTACACTACATTCCAAGTCTTCTAGAGCAGAGCAGAGCAGAGCAATGTTATATGGACTGATATTATGGTAGGCATATAACTTTAAACTGTATATGTAAAAGAGATGTGTAAAAATATTAATTACAATTTGCCATATACACCAGGAAAGACAAATTATAATTTAAAGAAGAAAGTATGATAGTCATTCATTCATGTTAATGATAATGTTAAAAAAGCATTTTTTTATTTCTGTATTGTGTTATATTTGTATGTTAGTAAGTGGTGTTAAAAATAGCTCTGAGCTGGTGGGTTTATGGTGTGGTGGGCCACTCTGTGCCAAAAAGTCCAGGGCCACTTTTTAGCCCCTGGCTATAGCTAAACGCTAATTTAAGCATCGAAACTAACTGCTATAATACTTAAATGAAACATAACTAAAACTTCAAGTACCCATAAGTTATTAAACTTCAGTTCATAAGTAATAAAATGTCAAGATCTGTTGTTTGTACATTACCGCATTCCTCATAGAGGACTGGGTGCAAACTGCATTAAAGTCAACGCAGAGGGATGTGGACTGTTGTAATTGCCTTCACTGTGGGAATGTTGGTTGTGCTCATCCCTAACAGTCAGCTCTGAGCCCCCTGTGCTTTCTGTGAATCCAGACACCTCCTCCAGCCTGCAATGCAAGGAGATACTGTAGCCTACAAACAAGTCGGTGACATATAATGTCAGGAGAGCTGCTGGATTGTGTCTTCTTGAGAGCGTGAGGAGAAATCCTCTCTGTTAGCTTATGCTACATGCATGTGAGACACATCTTCCCATCAAATGCTGCTCCATCTCTGCCCTGTGAATAAAACACAAGCTAAAAAATACTATATTCACATTCCTCAGAGAGATCTGTATTTCACTTCCATTTTTCATATGGTATTTCTTGAAATGCTTATTCACTGACATGATTCATTTGCATTTTTAGAGATATTTGATGTCTAACTAATTATGTGATTTTATTTGTTTACATATGTAAAAAAAAAATAATAATAATAGACAGGTTAAAATTAACTTAAATCAATAGTATTATTACTATGTGTATCAGTGAGTATTGTTGTCTTGTTTTCCTATCAAAATATTTTTACAGGAAAAATTTACAGTATATTACATAAAACAAAATTAAAACATAATAATTTTTTGATGTAATAGATATTTTTAAAGAATTTTAAGAAAGTAAAATTGTCAAAGGGTTTATCTTTATTATTAACACAGATAAAAGCATAGTGCATAAAGCACTAAAACCTAAGTTAGGTTTTTTCAACTGAAAAACTGATGTTGCTCTTTTTTTCCCAGTGGGGTAACCTAATTAGTTATATATCTAAAAAAATATATTTAAAAAAATAAAATTATATATATATATATATATATATATATATATATATATATTTCTTTGTTTATTTATTTATATAATATTATGCAGTCTTTCTTCTCAAGTAAATTCTCTTTAAAATATATTTTGATATTTTTAGTGGGAGAAAAATAAAAAAAAACAATAATTTTGTGACAGTTAAGAAAGTTAAATATGATTCAAATAGCCATCTCATTTTAATTTTTCACCATCTGCTATCAACGTTAACAACAAGCCTGCAATTTAAAAATGACAAATGGCAGAAATTTTTGAATATAGCAAGCCTCATTGTCAACCATTAAATACAATGTGTGACAGAGCAAATTATATGCAGGATATATGGACGTCCCTGTCTCTGCAACACAGTCCAAGGATCAGAGTGCTTTTGACAGCAACTGGAGAGAAAGGAGAGCGAGGCAGGAGGAGACGTGGACAGATCTGACTTAATTTGACTGCATGAGTCAGCAGCTCATTTAGAAGAGCTCTCAAGCCAAAAAGAAATAGAAAAAAACTGTACGAGATTCTGTTATGACTTTGTCAAAAGAGTCCTATGCCATGGAAAACAGGAAATGAGCAGTTTGGAGAAGTATCGCTCATTCTTACCAGTTCATCACAACATTGGTCAAGTCCTTGCCTCGCCAGCACTGTAACAGGCTGACAGTTCCTACGAAACATGACTCAAGGTTAAAGAGACATTTATCAAAACACCCAAGCAAGAGACTCTCAAAGAACAAGGACGTTACAATCATTAATTGAGATGCAGGGGCTGAGAGAAATAATTAAGCCTGGAGCCAATGTCAGAATCATTTCTATCTGGTGATTAAACAGATTTCCTAATAAAAGCCAAAGAGGGTGAGGATTATCAGAGAGACGACCCGCGGTAAAGACTATCGCCCACCACTCTTTACAAATCCTCAGCATGACCCTGAAACACTTTAGACTCATTTGTGCTTTTAGTAAGAGCTATTGCAAATAGCAAAGTAATGATTCCGATGGCCAAATTTGCTGATATCAGTGTGTAAAACCGCACTACATAGGTCACACATTTAAGACCCCATGATATTGTTTGATGAATGGGATTTTTAAATATTTTTAAATATCTAGAAATGTGCAGACAAAAACGCTGTTATGGAGTGAGTTGCACTGGAGATGCTAATCACTTCACAATTCTCCATTTGCATGATTTGAAGTGATTAGAGTGCAATTGACTGGAATTATGGTGGACAAATGTGATAATAAATGCTAATAGGAGCTGTGAGAACCCAATACTAAGCAGATTGTTACAAGAAATTGGTCCTCAGGCATTCAGTACACAAGTCAATAACCCCGAGAGCCGCCCAGATTTGCATGTTAACCCTATAAAGCCAAGTGTATCATATTTAGTATGCAAATTTCTAAAAGGTCTAAATGTACAAAAAAAACAAAACAGTTGTACACAATCTACTACATACTGTACCTTCTGTCACCTTCAGGTTGCGGTACATGTGTGATTTTGCTGTGAAATCTTTACTGTTTATAAAGTAAACAAGAATAACTTCTATACTTTTAGCAATATTTTAAGATGAACATTTACTGGACTTGAGCAACTTAATTATCCATAAATGACTTTTTAGAAAAAATCATGTTAAAATGTAATTAAATGTAAATGACACTTTTGAGGACCGTTTATCTGTATGTCTCTAAATCATAGTTTTGCACTTCATTACATATTTTGGCCTCCACAATATACAGACCTTTGATCATAAAACTAAGTATTTAAATATCATCTAAGACATATTGCTAGGAGATATAGAGTGACAACTGATATTTACATGCATTTTATATAAGTAGTCTGCTATACTACTGTAAATATCTCATTGATTATATTACAAGCTATCAAAATTGAAATTTAAAAGAATAAATAATTTTGGCCATATTTATATCAACAACTGCACCAAATTGCATATTTTGCTCAATTTGGGCCTGTGAATAAATCCCTCCTCAAGTATGAGCTTCATATTCTCACTATATCATACTTAACAAAAAACACATACGTAAACCTTATTTCGATTTTCGTTTATATTTTGTCTAAAGGTTCAACAAACTGTTCCATTAAAAAAATCTGACAATCATTTAATATCTGAGGCTTTATAGGGGTAAAAACCTTTCAACATTTAGTTTTTACTTCTAATCAACTATACCAGTGCTAACCCAGAATGAATTTTGAATTAGTAGATCTATCTGTGATAACAAGTCTGAAGCCTTTCAAAGGATACTACAAAATTAGCTCCTCAGCTGTCATCCTGAAAAGCCTGAGTAGAAAGATCTTGACAGGCCGATTCATTCAGAGTGTTTGCACAACGTTTCCATTGGTGCTCCACTGGAGGTTATTTTGAGGGTCTCGTGCTGTCAGCTGTTGTCTTGAGTCCTTTTGGACCCTCCTCACTTTTCTCTTTCACTCTGATAAAACTGTGGACTGACTGGTTCATTGTCCTCCTTTTCTATTCGAACCCGAACAGACACGTGTGGGTAAGTCTTGAGCTGTACTATTGTGTTTAACTTTTTAGTTGATGTTGAGCTGAATGTCGCCAGTGTGTTTGAGAAGCATTTGAGTTGGGTGGATTTTTTATAAGTCATTATAGTGTGTGGTTTCATTATTGTGATCAAGTAATATGAAGACAAATCTAATTCCCAATGCAATAATTCTGTTGTTTTACATTCAAATTTGTAGCCAATTTCATCGTTTGTCCTAAAGTTTGTCTTATGTGCTTCACTCTTAGCCTGTTGTTTAGATGTAAACCGATGTTTAGAATAGTCATTGTTTTTCCACTTTGCGTAAAACTGCCACCATTGACATCAGAGTGTACGTGGCAAGACTAAGAAATAGCTTGTCCATATTTAGAGGATCCAAAAATAGCGTGTGGCTTCACAACAGGTGCCATGTTGCTGAAGGAGGAGGGGTGATGGGAGAGGAGGAGGGGTGGATACACGCACATGGGGTTGGAATGGGGGGCTATAATTTTAACCTGATAAGCAACAGAGCTGGGACATAAACAACCTCTGGAATCTCAGAGTTCATTCCACATGAAATCAGCTGTGTAGAGCTGAAGGGCTTCAGGCCTGGCGCTATCTGTGACACATCAGATTTAGTGGCTCAGCCATACTCTGCCACTGTGATTTGTGCTATTTTCTCCGCACCCCCTCCTCTAGCCTCGTGTGTCACAAGCGACTCGTTGCCTCTCTTCAGATGTCCACCAGACGTGGAGGCAGCTTAGAGATCAGATGTTACTCTTTTTCTATGGCTTGCATTGAAAATGTTTAAGAATTTATCTAACTACCATTATCCAGATCATTAAGTATTAAAGTTCATTAAGTATTTAAATTTAAGTATTACATTTTCTGTAGCCAGGTGTGGATCTATACCAATAAAATAAAAAAATAAAAAAAATAAAAAATAAAAAATAAAATAAATTAATTAATTAATTAATTAATTAATTAATTAATTAATCAACAAATAAATGAAAAAAAATTTAATTAA